ACTGAACACCAACTACATGCCAGGCCCTATGCTGGATGCTCAGAATAGAGCAGTGGACACAGCAGAAAGGAAGGAGGAAGGGAGGAGGGAGGGAGGAGGGAGGGAGGAAGGGAAGAAGGAGGAAAGGAACAGGGAACGAGGGAAGGAAGGCAATCAGAAGGGAACAGATCTATTCCCGCCTCCAGGGAGCTTGCAGTCTTGCCAGGGACCCGGATTTAAACACCTAAACAAGGAACTAGATACATGATCACAAACAGAAGTGGCTGGCGGAACAGGCCTGGTGCTAGACCCTCCTTTGGAACAGCACCAGGAAAGGGACTTGGAGGAGGTGACGTCTCTGCAGGTCAAACCACTTAAAGAGGAAAAGGAACCCGACTTGAGGGAAGCCTGCAGAGACCAGCCAGGCTGGACTGTGAAAGACACCCTCAGACATGTAGAAAGACTTCAGACTCTCAAGGGCCAGGTGGGTGGAAGAGGAAGCAGGGGCCTGCTGAGCAGAGAAATGTAGTGATCAGACTTGCATTTGGGACATAACCCGTCTGGGAGCAGAAAAGCGAGCCTCATGCCCACAGCCTGTGGGTTCCCACAACTCTTCCTTCTGTTACCTTGGGCATCCCCTGCTTTGTTGGTGAGACTCAGATGCCTGGGTCACCAGGATCTAAATTCTATAGTTGCTCAGAGTGTAGACTCCCACACTTCACAGTGAACCTGGCAGGTACGGCCTCTTTGGCTTCCAAACTGCAACTCCAGTGTGATTCCTACGAGCTCCTGAGTTCCCACTTCCCAGCCTGACTCCATGGGGTTCTCTGACTGATGGCAGAATCCCTTGCCATGGTCTACAGTCATGGAAACCACATGTCTTTCAGAAATACGTACACAGATACATCAACAAATGAATCAATGGTGCTTTTTGGGGTGTGGGGGCAGGCTGAAAAATGAGGTCAGTGAGTCACACAGCAGATAAAAACATCTCTACCCAAGGAATATAAGGAACGAAACAGAGCTTTTCGATGCAAGCTTTGAAGAGCTATGCATAAGGCAAATGAACGAGTTAATTAATTAATTAGTTAATTATGAGTCATTACACATTCTGCTGACTTCCTGCTCATCTGTCAGGCAGCAAGGGACAGCAGAATTGGTGGAGACAAGCCACAGTTCTGTTCAGACCTATGTGAGATGTGAGTTGGGTTCACCATTACCTCCTTAGGCTAGAACACAGCTTCGTGCACACATGGTTTGCCCTGCCCTCTCCATGACAACCCCTTTTCACCTATCAAAGGATGGGGATTAAGCTGCTCCCTCCCCCAACTCAGACCTAGGGTGATCTTACAAAGCTCAGGCAGGTGGTAGCATCTGGGCAGCCCATTAGAAAGGTAGCAATAGCTTGAGAGTCTATGATTAAACCATTAACAATCAGACTACACAGATTCAGATGATAGACTTTCCGGATGAAAGGAGGTCGCAGGTAGCTGGTGAAAGAGAACAGGGACACATCCTTTTACTGGGGAGCACAGCTCAGTTACTGCCGCCAAGCAGTCCTTCACGGGGATCGCATTTATCTCAAAGACTTAGATCACGGGGACCTCTCTCATGTCACTCCTGTTCTGTTTGTGCTGGGTGAGCCGCTGTCCTCTCTGAGAAGTTCTCTCCCCTCCCCTCCCCTCCCCTCCCCTCCCCTCCCCTCTCCCCTTTACTCTCCCCTCTTTCTTCTTCTTTCTTTTAGGCTCCACTTTCTCCTCCTGCCCCCACTCTCTGTCCTCAGTGAGAATACCACCTTCAGTTCCTTATCCTGTCTCTAGAGGTTCAAAAATGATACTGCTGATGGGTTATCTGGTGTCTGGTGCTGTGCCCAATGCAATGATTCTATGATGTAGGTATTATTCTTACCCCTGTTTCATAGAGGAGGATGTTGAGGTTTAGAGAGTTGAGTGACGTGTCCAAGGTCACATGCTCATAGGTGGTAGAGCACCCATTGGAACGCACTTCAGTTCCAGACCAAAGCCAAAGCCCTTCCCCTTTGCTGTTCTTCCCAGGAATGTTTACCCCAAGATCCGGCCCCGTATTCCTTCCTGTCCCCTGGACACCTCTTTCGAGATGTCACCAGGATCCACCAACTCAACACATCCAAGCCTGACTGGTCTGGTCCATCCTCCTAGGCTAGACAGTTTAGAATCATCTGGATGTGGAAGCATGGCCCTTCCTTAGGTTCTCATCTCTTGACCAATGGACAGTAGCCCCAGCCACCCAGATGGCACAGCCGCCTGATCCGCAATGTGGCCAAAAGGAAAATGGGGATTTGGACAGAAAAGTCAGGAGCTCAGTCCCATTTCTGTCCCTTTCAAGCTAGAGGATGTTGGCCCAGTTCTCACATCTCCAGGAAAGGGGTAACGTCAGCAGCCCCACAGCAAGGTAGGAGGGAAAGAACGCATGTAAAAGTACACACTGAGATGCACACATGTAAGAGTCCCACTAAATAATATAGTTCTCACTTGCCTCTTGGTGCCTCAGTTCCGCCCATGTGTAAAATGAGGGCAGCAGCACAGGCCTCAGAGGTGGGCTGGGAGATTAAACGAGTCCCAGGCCGCGGCCCGTGAGCAGCTGGCCCACGGTGAACGCCTGACAGCACTGGCTGTCGCCCCAGCTCAGGGCCCCTGCTCTCTCCTCTCCGAGGTCACACGGACTGTCACTTCTGCCTCCGGAATGCAATCGACAGACACACCCCGTTTTCCTCTCTGACCAGGAGCTGGGCTGACTTGCATGGGCGCGGATTTCCCCTCTAGCGACCGATCCGCTGGGCTGCACACAGTAGGGTCTCAGAAATACCAACTGAATGTCTCTGATTGGCTGCACCCTTCTCACGGGAATTCTTCCGATGGCAGTTTTGTTTTCCTACCCTTTTCTTTCCTTTTTTTTTGGGGGGGGGGGCTTGATTATGGATGCATCTGGGCTTATTTTCAAACCTTGTAACATGACTGGAGAGGGGAGATGAGCTCCCTGTTCTGCCAGAGTTGGGCAAACCGAACAGCTCAGCGGCGATATGAGAGCAAACAGCCAAGAGAACTCGGCAGCAGCAACCGAGCAACGGCTGGGCTCCGAGGGCTTTGCCTCCCGAGGGGGTCTTTCTGGGACTCGAGAGACCAGCTCTCCAAAGCTGAGTCTCTTGGTATCAAACGCTGACCCCTCAGCCTGTCAAGGTGGACTGTGTTCAGAGAAGTGCCCAGGATCCCTTCTGCTCTGCTTTAAGCTAAGTACATTCCATTTTCTTTTCGGGATTTAAAGAGGAGCCCCCTATCAGGAAGAACAATTTGACATCTAAATACATCGCACCCCACGTGCAACCCCCGTATGTGACTCTCCGTACCGTTTGCTTGTTCCCAAGGAGCACTTGGTGCAGCATGACCTGGCAATGCTGCTACTTTATGTATTTTCTGTCACTTATATCATGAGTTAGTGAGACGCTGTGAAAATGACCACGGCTAAGGACGAGAAAACCTTGCTTTTGTGGTACCAGTGGGTATCCATTCACCAAGACTCCGCTTTCTGTGAAAACATCAGTGGCACGCTGTGGATTCATTTCTACCTGAAGCTCCACACTTAACTCACAGATTCACAGAAATGAAGGAGAATTGTGGAGTCTGTCCAGTGCAGGAGTGGCAGATAGATTCCATATCCAGAAACATCTCTAAGTGATCAATGGAGGGCTGCTTCCAGGAGCACTATATTGGGAAAGACTCTCCGGTCAAGCCAGGGGTGACGAGTCATTTGCCTTGGGTGTGGTGGCACAGTGGAGCCGTGCTCATGACCCTTCTTTGCCATCCCAGACAATTGAACCCCTCTGGCCTGCAGATAAGGAAGGGACATGATTCTCTCAAGGTCACAGGGTAAACAGCACGCGTATTGCCAGCGGTACCGTCTCTGCTCCCCAGCTGTGGAACCTGTTTACCCCTCCATCCACACTCCATCACCGAACAAAATTAGCAGATAACTCATGGAAAATGTGGCAGATGGAAAAGGCAGTGAGAATCACAGGCTTTGAAACGCTGGGCAACACCGGGCCCACAGGTAGGAGAAAGGGCTGCCCCGCGCGGAGGGTGCTTCATTGCTATTGTCATTTTGCCAGGGTCTTGCTGTGTGTCTTCCCTTTCTCTAATCAAGAAGCCATTGGGTCTCTGAGCTCCCGGTGGAGAAGTAGGTAAGTCTATTGCAGCAAAAGTCAGTGCAACGCCGCAGGAAGCCTCCAGGGCAGCTCCCGGCACTCCTCACGGGTGTGCGGGTGCAAAAGCAGTCGGGCGAGGGAGCCTGCCGGATGCACTGGCTGTCCTGCTGGACAGCTCCGGTGGGCCACGGGCTCGTGCCTGCCTAACATCCATTCTGCTTCCTTGGATAATAGGATTCTAATGTACTTGAATGAGTAGCCCTCTTTCTCTCTCAGTCTATATATTTTAGGTGAGGCTAATGCCACTCTGGCTTCAGGACAAGGCGTGTGACTCAGACTCAGCCAACCAGAGCAGAGCATCACGACCCAGGGGACACCGTGATTGTGTCAGGGATGGGTGCAGGATCTAATGAGAGCCAATGAGATTTGACTTCAAGCTTTTGTGGGCAGTATCAGGAAGAGATGGTCTCGGGTGACTTCAGACTGGGAGGACAAAGTGGCGCGACTGAGACCTCCACAGTGGGAAGCAGGGAGGGAAGTGACCGTCTAAGAGTAAAGTCAACAGAAGGACATGGAACCACCGGATGAGTTAAGAATCAGCGCTGCTGTTTGCCTCTGGGAACTGGTCCACAGCCATGCCTAAAGGCCAAGCTATCTCAGAAATATACTTACATGAGCCCACAATTTCCATCCCCACAGCCTCCCACCATTTGGAGTTGGGTTCCTGTCATACATACCAACAAAAGAATCTTGGCCAATACTAAACCAAATACTCATCTCCCACAGAAAACATACAGACCTCAAGTCCCCCCTTGGACCCACTTGTCCCAAACATCTGTGTTACCTGCATGGAGCCCTGGACGTCTTTCCCGCCGACAATCACGATTTCCGCCATGTCCTCCGCATGGGGGGTCCGGGCGTGGACGAACAGAGTCTTGCCCACCGCAGTGATGTTTCTCAGGGCGACTAAGCCACCGTCATTGTTCACCTTGAAGTATGGGCTTGAGACCTCATAGTGCAGCTTGTCATTTCCCTTACAGTCACTAAAGTTCACTGGAGTAAACCAAACCAAACAAAGAGAAACAGAAAGAGTGTGAATAGGTTAGGCAGCTTAGTCCTGACGCTACCTCTGACCATTGAATGTGAATTATCACTTCCCACCCCAGATCCACCAATGCGGCCCCTTATCCCACAGCAATCCCCTTTGGTGCCCCCATGACTTTGATCATGTTGAAGGTCTTCGCTCCATCAAGAAACATCCTTGCTCACCTCCCATGAACCAGGCAGGTGCTGAGTAATGAGAATGTAGAGACAAACAGGACCATGTCCTGGCCCTTGAGTGCAGTGGGTCAAGTACCCAGTGAAGTTAGGGATGAGCTCTAATCCTGCATAGATGAGCACTGTGGCAGAACTAGATTGCTCAGGAGCCTTGAGGGACAGCTCCATGGAGGCCCTATTTGAGCTGGGTCTTGAAGATGAGCAGAAGAGGGGGAAGCCCCCAGGAAGGTGGAGGCGCTCCCAGTTATTCAAAGGCACGGGAATGATGGTAACAGAACAAAGCAGACTCCGAGAAAGAGAACAGATTTGGTGCCCTTTGGTCAGAGGCACGTTTGAAATGGGACAAAGATGTGGGGGATACTGGAAAGGCTGGGAATGAAGCTCAACGTGTCCTTTAGAGACCAGTTGGGAAACAGCACTAAATTAGTGTGCTTGGACTGTTTTTAGTGTTGACGGGGTCAAGGTCAGTTGCATGTTCTGGTTCCAGGGTAGAGCAGGGCTTCCCACGGGCAGGGATGCATCAAAATCACACGGGACCCAATCCAAAGATTCTTATTGAGTAGCTCTGGGTTCTAGAGAGTGGTTTGGAGAAGAACAGGAGAAGCCAAGGAAACCAGGTGGTTCCGTGTTGCATCAATGATGCCTGGACCAAGTTAAGGCAGCAGCTGGATAGAAGTGGGCTGATCCCTACAGCTACATGGCTAAGTCAAGTGCAAGAAGGAACAGGGAAAAGCAGCCGTCTCATTGGGACCACGCGGAGCACAGAGGCATTGCCGTGAGCAGCGGTTGTGACAGCTGGCCAGGCCCCCATCTGTGGTGTACCTGTACCTGGCACATGATTCCATTACCAAAGCTACCACAATCCGTTGTCTGAGCATGCGTTTGCCCGTCTGTGTCCTCAGTAGACGGCCAAGTCCCTTGAGCGTGAGCGGAGAACCGCATGAACTACTCCCCTCCCCTCGCTTGTTTTCTGAGCTCTCTGCTGAACAGATTTGCTCAGTAAACCTTTCACTGAGTCATGGCATAGACACAGAGAAGTACACAAGTCAGAATGCACGTCTCAATACACTTTCACAAAGTGGGCACATATATGGGCCCAGCACCTGGACCCAGACACAAAATATGACGAGTCCCCTCGGTCCCTCCCGTCCTCCCTGGCAGCTGTACTATACGGACTTCTAACATCATAGATGAGCATGACCTGTATTTGCACTCGGTACACATGGAATAATGCAGATTGTGTTCTTTTGTGTCTGGCTTCTTTCACTCAACATTATGTTTCTAAAATTCGACCCTGTGGCTGCAAGGCAGAGCTGTTTATCCTAATCACGCCATTGTATTCTAGTGTGTGGCTATGCCGAGTTTATTCATCCATTCTATTGCTGATGGGCATCTTGGCTATTTCCAGTTTAAATCTCTTAAATATTGCTACTAGAAACTTTCCAATGTGCCTTTTGGGGCATCTCCATAGGTCCAAGTACACTCTGGAAGCAATATAAATTTCTGATGGACTCGCTGATCCCTCTTTCCTAGGAAGATAATTCTTATGGTGGTAATAATCATATTAGCCGTAACGATAATGGCCAACACAAATGGAATAAGTACTTCCCACATGTGAGGCTTGGTGCTAAGCAGTGTATCTTATTTAATCTTTACAGAAACAATGAACGAGGCACGCGTTTGATTCCCTCCCCCGACAGATTATAGATCAGGCCACAGCAGCTAGGAGAGGGCCAAGAGGTGCCCACAGGCCGTTTGCAAAACCAGGATTTGAAACATGGTCCCTTGGCTTTTCACCACAACACATTCTCAAAACAGGCAAAACCTCATGATAGATCCCTCCTGAAATCCCATCAGAACCCGAATGTAATGACTTGAGTAGCTAGCTCAGACCTGCTCCCAAGTTCCCACCCAGCCCAGAAGCGCATCACGTGGTGTTGCCTGGAGGTTCCTCCAAGAACTTCGGGGGAAGTTCAGGGCTTCAGAACCTTTCCTGGCTGCCAAGTCAGCTTTCGGGTCACCTCTGTGTGGACACACAAGAGGACTGTTGGGGATCTGCAGTTCTCAACACTGGCTCCCTTCCTCTGGCCATCTCGTGAGCCAAGAGCAATGGGGCATGCCTGGTTTTGTTTGTGGGTATGAGCTATGAAGGAGAGACCAGAAAGTGGCTTTCTATGGAGCTGTCAATGAACATTCAGGCACTGGAGACACGCTGCTCAATTGACAGGACCCCCTGGGAACTTGTTGCCTGAATTGCCAAGATGTTGATTCTGCACCTGGTCCCTGGGCAGGCAGTCTCAGCTGGGCAGAGGTGGGGACAAGTATACAAAAGTCTGTGGGGTTCTAGTTTCACACCTAATTCTCTTTCTTCCTTCCTTCTTTGTTTTTTCCTCTTCCCTTTCTTCCTCCTTCCCTCACTTCTTTTCTTCTTTCATCTCTTCCCTTTCTTCCATTGTTCCTTTCTTCTTTCTTTCATTTCTTCCACAAATGTTTACTGAGAGCCTACGTCGTGCTAGTTGCTTGGATTACAGAACTTAATCCAAAACCTTGTAAGTAGTAAGGGACCTATTGCAGGCAGATAGAATCATAACATGTGCAAAGGTCCTGTGGCATTCAGGGAACTGTAAATAAGCCAGTGAGGTGGGCACAGAGAGCAAGGAAGAAGGCAAGGAAGGGAAGGTGGAGATAAGCCAGGCCTAGACAATATGGGATCTGAACGCCACATAAGGACATTTCTTAAACAAACCTTTGAACTCTTCCATTACAGCTATAGAACTGACTTGCTTCTATCTGAGTCTCATACAACTGCAGGTCCCCACTGCAAACCAGCACCCAAGGTCCTCCATATCTGGTCTGTCCCCTGGCCTCCCCTCTAGCCTCTGTCCTCCCTCTAAACTTTACATGTGCCCACACCTGTGTCTCCCTACATCTCCTGTTCTGCTCCGCTTTCATCCTCACATTGATCCCTCTGTGTAGGAGGCACTTTCTACCTTCTTCACCCTATTAACTCTCAGTCATTCTTTAAGATTCAACCCGGGCAACTTCTCCGCACACCCTCTTTGTGTTCCCAGAGTTTCCTGCACAGAGGGCTTTGAATATCACGTTCCATCAATATGTCCTCTTTATGTATCTGCTCTTCCCACCAGGGTCAAAGGTAGACCTTGAATCTCATTCTTTGATTCATCTCTCCATCTCCCACAATGGCCAGAATGCTTTTCCATACATGAGCCTGTCAGCAACGCTCCCATTGGACTCCTGCACTCTCCAAGGACAACCTGATGCTCTAGTGGGGGTATATCGGGGGGCCCTCTTCCACCCTGGGAACAGGAGATGCTGTAGGCAAGGCCAGAATTTGGAATGAGGGCCCCCAGTCTCCTACTGTCTTGGTTGAGCCCAGTGGTGGAGACAGTAGGAGAGGAGGGACTCAACCACGGTCTCCCCTAAGTTCCTGTCTCTGAATACGTCTGTTCAGGAGAGCCCGTGGCCTCCTGTGCTCACTTAGCGTTGGCTGAGCTCATTGGTCAAGTCAGGGGTGGTAGCTTTCCTTTCTTCTTAATTCCAATAAAGTTTCACACAGTCCTGAAGGACAGCTGGGATCAGTGTGTACATGTTGAATGAATGAAATGCTTTGAAAAATAATGGGGACGGCTACCATTTACTGTCTCTGTGCCAAGGGCCGTGCATTCAGTCTCCCTTTTAGCCTCAGGGCAGTTCTGACCCGCAGCAGCACTGCCCCCTTTTAAAAGTTATCTGCCCCCACGCCAAGTCTTTTGAGGTTATTTTCCCCTAGTGCAACTCCTCTCACGAGACTTGAACGCCACAGATTTCTGTTTACTTTATCGTCCCTGCATATCTGCCTACTAACTGTATGCATGTCTGTACTTTGCACACACACACGCACACACACACACACAGTACAACTTTGCCTCTCTCCAAGGACCCACACCACTCCTTTGGGGGCCATACAGCCACACTACAATGCACAACCTATCAGCATCATCCCCATTTTACCGGAAGAGGGACTGAGACTTGGGGAGATTGACTGACTTGCTCAACGTCACACATCTGGAAAAGGCAAAAACCTGTCCCTGGTCAGATCTGTCTACCTCCACAGTTCCAGCTCTCAGCATACCCATTTCCCAGGAATGGATAAACGAGAGGGAAGAGGGCAGGTCCCCCATCCCACCCCTCTCGGACTCTCATTAATCCCTCTAGAGTCTTCAGAGGTACCAGAGCAGAATGAGAGACCATACCTACATTCAGGACCTGCCACATTGTGCCCACTCAGTACAATCTAGCTTCTTTCTAACTTGCTGTATCAAACAGGGTTGCGTCATTGGGTGTTTCTATCTTAGACATATTTTACCAATTCAGGAGCAGGTGCTTTAGACTGTGATTCTTTTGCAAGGCTCTGATAATCACCTGAAGATCATTAAGAAGAATAACAGCACTTTCCCAACCCCCCCAACCCCCCCCCCGCGAGATTCCAATATACTTGGGCTGGGGGGCGGTCCTGGCACTGGTATCGTTTTAAAGTTCCCTTCATGAATCTAATGCAACCAGGGTCAAGAACCAGGACCTGGGACAATGAATTGCTTGTCAAGATGCCAGGCGTCCACATTTCCCAGCCTCCCCTGGCACAGAGAGGAGGCTGAAGAACTTGCACGCCCAGGACTGCTATCCTCATGCCCTAAGAAATGGTGGTTTTTAATGGTAGATCTCTAAGCCCTTTTCTGGTCCCGGCTCATGTGTAGCGAGCAGCACTGGGACCTTGG